ACCCCACATGCCGTGAAACGTAATATTAAGTTGTTTTTGTTTATTGGTCATCATATTCAGTCAATCGGCTTGTCGATAAACATTTGATTGGAAATTCAATAATAAACATTCTAATCACTAACAAATGCAACAACTATTTATTTAATGGCAACAACAGCAACACTAACAACGACACCAAACTAAATATGGGAAGTACATAGATTTCAATTAAATTGTAATCAAATAAAACTACTGTAAAGTTTTGGAAAACAAGCACACACACATACACTATTTTACAACATTGTTCTGTGGAAGGTTCGAGAACGGTCGAAAATAAAGCTGATGTAATCATTAACTAATTAATTATCATTCATAATTATGTGTGCATAGAAGATAAAAAATTGGGGGTTTAAATAAAAAATACAGTTAATTTTTAATTATTTCCGAACCTTATAAAAATAAGTAAAAACGTTAATTATTTCCGGCTTGAAGCTTGCACTGCATTATATACATGACAAATATTGGCATGCCGATTAATTTTTTAGATCTCCAAATGTGATTGTACCCTTCCAAGTTGGGGAAATTTTGGTATTTGTGTATTGAGCCTAAATATATTTATAATTTAAATATATATAATTTAAATAATTTTTTAAATTTTCAAAATAGACCTCGTACCCTTCCAAACTTTTAGAAAATTGTGTTTTTGTCAGGGTATTTGTTGTCAGGGTATTATACCTTTGTTTAATTCCAGGAGTTTGGTCCTAGACCCACCTTTAAGTATACCGATCGTCATATCTCGACTAGCTGAGTCGATCTAGACATGTGTGTCTGTCCGTCAATCTGGCCATTACAATTTATGTACACGATACAGGCCACAGTTATGATCCAACTTTCACGAACATTTGAACGTAGGGTGGGTTCTGTCCAAAGAAGTCCCCTATGAAATGGACCAAATTCTTCATTATTGTCTGTTTTTCTGGTCGCTCTAGAGACTCTAATTATGACCAGAACACCATGAAGATTGGTCAATATTTAGCAGGTCAAATCAACCCAGACTTTTGTGTAAAAAATTATAATATTTGCATACTGGGGTGTATATCCAAGAAGAGTGGTTGACCTTTCAATTGATACAAATTATATTGTTGTAAGTACTCGGATGTGGGACTTTAAAAATGTGTCTATGTGTTATGATATGTTTGGGTATTACCATTACCCTACTAGGGGGCGGCAATGTCGTTCTGATTGCTTTGAAATTTTACATGAAGTTCCGATTATGGTCTTGGACGACGCCTATAATTTTCGGTGATCTTGATATGATATTTAGGGGTGCAATGAACCGAAAACTTTATTTTTATGAGATTTTCTAATAGGAGCCATTATTATATGCAGAACATCACATATTTTACACGGTGAAGGTGATCTGACAAAATACTTAGAACGGCTGTTTAGATGATGGTCCGAAGGTCAAATCATTCAAAACCTAAATTGACCAAATATTTATTTTATCGGGTAAATATTCAACTCGGGGAAAACAAGATTTGGAAAATATGCCAGGTTTGAAACGCGAAGCTATTGGCCTATAATCGGTTAAGAGGATGTAAAAATCCCGAAATATTACCCAAGCTGAAAATATAGAACAGAAGAAAGTTATACTTTCGTGGTAGTTGTGTAGGTTATCACATAGTCGGCCCCGTCCGACTGCTCCGCTCTCTGTTTTATATTGCATTGAACATAAATATATATTTTTTAGGGCATATTTCGTTCGGTCGTGTTGAATTGACCTCATAAAGGAATATAAATTGACTTTTAGTTTATTTTCAGTTCCTTACAAAATATTTTTTTTGCCGACTAGTGTCATACTTGAATTAATTAACTTAATTTCCAATAACAAAAAAATAGCAGTTAATAAATCTTTAAGTCTGTTGAATAATTGCAATTACAAATGCTTGAAATTTACCCTTGTTTGGTGAATAGCGAAAGCGAAATAGCAAAAAAAAACAACAACAACAAAAAAGCCGCAACAAGGAAAAATTAACTGAATGTGAGCGAGTAAATGACTGAATATATAGAATATGACATTGAATAATAAAAAAAAATAAAAATATTTTTAGCATTTTTTGTGTGTGAGCGCGACGTTCTTCGTTGTCTCCTTTGTGAATTGTTTTACGTTCACTTCAAACTTGAACGAGACAAATTTTTTGTGAAATATAGTATATAACAAAAAAACAGCTACAACGAGCCAAAATAACGCCAAAACAACTGTCTAGGAAAATATTGAAATTCAAAAATATAAAAAACATGAGTTTGAAAATATATGTGGATTTTTTTACTGTCTGCAATATTTTAAGAAATTATATGACAATTTTGGAATTTGTTTCTTTGTATTTTTTTTCTTTCTTTCTTTCTTGGAAAATTGGGTTAGATATATACACAAAATATATTTGTTTTTTTTTTTTAATTTTTAGAAATTATTGTCGTATATGATAGCAAAAACCAATTATATTAAAATAAAAAAAAAAACTACCCTAAAATCTTTTTTGATCCTTTGGGGGAAAAACCAAAGAAAAAATCATTATAATTAAAAGGTACTTTAAAAAGTATTATAGGCCCTAAATTGATAATTAATAAAGGGTTGTCTTAATCAATATTTTATAAATTAAACGTTATTTACATTATAGCAGTTTACCGGGTTAACCTCCTATATGAGGATTTATTTGGCATATATTCAAAGGAATTGGCAATTAAAACCCACTGGCTTAAGGAAATCCAGTAAAATGTAAACGTATGTGTAAAATAGATCCATTAATTTTAAAGTTCTATAAAGCAATGTGATCTAAACTCATTTCACAAATATTTGTATACATGATGGTCCACCCTGTATTACCTACAAAGTATGTAGTAAAATTATAAAACAATGTGATTTAATAGACAGCTGTTTGGTGATGGCGAATAATAAAATTCTTAAATGTAAAAATGTGTACATATTAAGAAACAAATGCTATAATTAAAATTCGTATAGTATTTATACAATTGCCCAATATATTAAGTAATGTATTGAAGTATTAAACATACGTTGGTATTAACAAAAGGTAAAAATTTTTTAACAATATATATTTAAATTAAAAATAAACATATTCATTTTTAAATATATATTTTATCCGTTATTTTTAAAACCCTTACCAATTAATTTTGTATAGAAAATTGTTACGAAATATATTAACAAACTTTATTAATTTCATTTGACAAATTTCTATTTTAATTTCAAAAAATTGTCTGCTATTTATTTAATATATTATTGTTTTTAAAAAACACCTGCCAAACTATTATGCACTATTTTTAATAAAAATGGCAAAAAATTGTTATAAAATATCAAGTGTTTTTTCACAAGAATTCCAAAATAAATATCTTTGCACAATTGCATTGTTATCAAAAATAATAAATTTACGCAATACTTTAACAATAAATTGGGATGTTTAATTTGTTGCTAATAGTATAAAAAATTAATTCCTTCAAAAAGTTTTCCCATATTTTAACAAGTGTATGGATTATTTAGAAACAAAATAATAAAAAACATGGAAAAAACAGTCTAGAATAAATATAATATAGTGTCATCATCATCATCCCTTTTGAATTTAATAGAGAGACACTTAATGAAATGCAAACAAACGAAACTGATAAGAAAAATATATATATTTTTGTTTATAATATAATATATGTATATAACAATATAAAATAATAACAAAATACAAGTGAAATATATTATTCATCATCAGGTTAAAAGTTTGGAATTTTAATTTCAATGGGTTGTGTGCTATTTTGTATTGTGAACACATGGAATATGGAGAAGGAGATCTTAGAAACATTTGTGGTAGGAATTTTTGAATTGCGGGTTTTGAAAAAAGAAGATGAATCTTTGTTGGCAATGAAATTTCCAAACTCAAAATATTTTTTAATAAATTAAATCTCATTAAAGGCCCAGAAATTTTTTTAAACCATCGATTTTTTTTTCAAAAATAATATAAAAAATATTCGTTGTAAAAAATCAGGCAATTTTTTTTTAATAATACAAAAAAACTAAGGGAACTGTTGAGATCCGAAACTATAGTTTTTCCTGCCTTACCCTCGATGGTAAATGTCATTCCCCACTAATAAATATTTGTTTTTATAAAACAAGAAACTGGCTATTTTGCAAAGAAAAAAAAAATCAATTTGTTTATTATTTGATTCTGAATGTAGATTTTTTTTGGAGATTTTAACATGTCCTTTGTACATGTCTCTTGTACAAGTTATAAGATTATGTATAGCTCCCTAGGACCCCTACAAGAAAATGTTTAATCCGTGAGTGACATTGGTATGGAAACAGAGAGGCAAGCTCTTGAAATCAATCCTTGGACTTCTTTATATTTAGACAGATAATATTATGGTTCTGTCTACATCTTCAAAATAGTTTTATGAAGTCAATGGAACCTAAAGTCACCATCAGATCTGGTCACCTTAAATGTTGACAATTAACATTATGATTGAGTTTAGCTCTTCAAAAGTATTTAGAATACTGTTCAGAGATGACAGATTATTGTCGTGCTTTTTCGGTCAATAATCTTTGTGCCATAAAAATATAAGGAACTAATCTTGGATTTTTTCTCTTAAAATAAATTATTCTACAGCTGTCACAAATCCAAGGGATTAACTTCCCCACCTGTTTAAAATGCCTTGAACTCATACAATTAAAACAAATGTCTCTCTGGGAGAATCTGGCAAGTCATGACTACCCCAAGAAAATATATTCTGCAATATATTTTCTTCACTTGCAAATCTTTTTATATATCAAATTAAAAGAAAAAAGATAAACAAGCTGATAATAGTCGACTTAGATAATTTTTTGAGTAATTAGTCTTGTAAATTTTATCATTTTGTGTCTTAAATAAATAAAATAATAATAAAAAGATTTTTTTTAAATGTTTGATAGCCATGATTCTTAAGCGTATTAAAATATTAAAATTAAATTTATATAGAAAACTTACCCCAACTTTTTGGTGTACGACCCAAATAGGTGCCATCTTTTGAGTTGTGTAGAAATTGTCCGAATGACTGCTTTTCCTTAGGCGAATAGAATTGAAATTCTGTGGGGACGAATTTGGTTTCACCGTTGTTTTTGGACATTTTGTACTAATTCGTTTGTTTTCTTTCTTTCTGTTACTGCTTCTTGGCAAAAAATGTGTTAGTTTCTTTTTGGGGGGTTTTGTTTGTCTTCAAAAAATTTTATTTAAATTTTCCTTTTTTTTCAGTGAAGGCAAGAAGATTTGTTTTTTTTGATGAAAAGATCGATGTGAGTTCTTTCTTGGGGGTGGGGGTGGACACGTTGGAGCTGTGCGTATTTTTTGCTTTTTTGTGCGTGGGTTAATGTGTGCGTTTGTTTTGTAATATTGTTGTTGTTTTATTTCTTTGCTAAAATAAAACAGCAAGAATTGGACTAGATAAGAAAATGAAGACGAAGAAGAGCACGATCCTATAAAAATAGAATAGTGAGAGAAGAAGAAAGATTAGAAACCAACGAAAAAAAAAACTATAACAACAGAATAGCAAGAAATACAATAATTAAAATAACAAAAAATACTGATTATCTCTTGTGAATGAATCAATTATTAAAATAATGTGTTTACTTTTCAAAAGAAAAGGGCTATGGCCTATTTTTGGATTGTCTACAGCATTCTAAAGCAATTCCTAAGGAACGAAATTCAGTTATTTTTTGAGAAAATCGTGATTAAATGAAATTTGAAAATTAGAGACAATTAGAAAATTTTAGGCTTCTCAGAAAAAAACATTCAGAGCTAATACAAAAATGTCGATTTTTGAAAAAACTTAAAATTTTGAATTTCTTTAAAGACGGAAATTCACATATTTTGGGGGGAAAGTGTAGATTTTTCCAATATCATTACTCGCGACTTAAATGAAATTTGAAAATTGGAGAATTTTTTCTTTTGAAAATAAGGACTATATAAAAATTTAGACCAACGGGGGACAATGAGGAATTCATAAGTATTTCTCAGAACAAAACTTTTTTGTTTAAGAAAAAAATTTGGCATAAGTAAATTGCAAAAACTGGCGATCCAGAACCAACAAAAAATCAAGGCATCAAAAAATTTTAATTTTTTAAAAGCTTACGATTTAGAATTAATTTTTAAGAAGTGATTTTTTGTAGAAGAGTTTACTAGAAATGATTGATAATGATGTTAATGGACATATCCTATTTTAAAAAGAACTGATATTCCAGAGATTCGAAATAGTTAATTTAAAAATAAGTACGCTGAAAGGAGGGGTTGTAATAATAAATTTGACCATACAATATGAAACATTAGTGTTTTGAGAATACGAATTTGAATTTAGAGTCTATGATTTGGGTGCCGAAATCGGAACATATCGCATAAATTTTCCCCATCATTTTTCAAAAATATTTTTTTGAAAATAACGAAAAAATATACAAAAACGAAAAATATAAAAAGGATAATTTATGTCCTTCGAATACACTCTTTGTGGATTCCAATAAAAAGGGAGTATAAAAGACAAACTTTGGACTCTGGTTAATTTTGAAAATTGGCCATTTTTATGTAATAATATTTATCATAGCGCATTTTCCCCCCGTTTCTCATTTACGAGGAGATGGTGGAGGAGCTCTAGCCGTCGGAATTGCTGTTACTGTGTGAGATACAAAAAATCATAAACATTTCGTTTTCAAATATCTGTTTCTTTTTTGTTTCTATTTTAAATAAACACACTAAAGTGTTTATTTCCTCGACAGTGAAATGAATATTTCTTGTGAGTTTCGAAAATATTGTATTTTTTTGTGTGGCAGTTCTTCGTTTTTTTCCTGGTCGTTGGTGGATTTGAAAAAAAATTTTCAACACTTTTAAAATATTCAACAAAAAATTGTATATAACTTTTCGATTCGTTTGGATATTTTTTGTCTGTCTTTCGTTTTCGAGCATTAAATTACGTTCTTGTTTCTTTTTTGAGGTATTTTATATATTTTTTCTCTTTTTTGTGTGTAATTGCTGTTTGTTTTGTTTTACTTGTTCTTTTATTTTGATTTTTTTTTTTTTGCAATATTTTTTTTGAGGTTATTTACTTTATGTTATAATTCTTTTTTTTTGTTCAATACAAAGAGCAAATGAAATAAAGCACCATAAAATTGTTTTTTTTTTTTCTTTTCTTTAGAACTGAACTGAGTAAATTTTCTAAGGTGTTCGATATAGAATTTGAATTCTGTATTTTTTTATTTTGCCTCCAACTTAGAATTGTATTTACTTTTTCGTTTCACAAAGAGTACAAAAAAATTGTCTTTAAAAAAACAAAGAATATAGGAAAATAAAAACTGACTTCCGTTAGGCCCCAATACGCGTTGTTACGTCCACGGCTAAAGATCACTGACTAAACTCTTGTAGAAGCAAGCACTTGGGCTATTATTGGGCGCAAATCGTCCGTATGTCCCAGAAGTAGCAGCACAAAACAGCAGCAACACTTAACTCGTCGCCAGAGTCAAACTCTCTCTTTCTCATTGACTCGGAGATAGACCACAGACGTCTCTTATCCCCAACAGTTTACAAACAGTGTGTTTTTTGGGGGGTGTTACTGTGTGTGTGTGTGTGCGCGATATGAGATTACAACAAGTGGAAACACATGTTGTCGTGATGTTGGTGTGGTGGGGGGTGGTGGTGGTTGTAGTGGTGTCGGCGGCGGTGTTGTTGTTGATGATAAGAAGCAAGAACTGTTTTGTTGCCTTGCTGCTATTGTCTTGGGCTTTGCTGCATTAGCACACTAACATTTCCATATTGAAATTGATTCTCTTAGTAATGAAGAGAACAAAGTGAGCCGCTGCCACCTCTGCAGTCATCGATACTTAAGGCAATGGGAAACAAAAACAGAGAAATATATATGGATAGAGAGAGGAAGTAAAGTATCATCACAAAGCTCTTAAAATGTAGTTTTGTAGTCAATAGATTTCATTCTCAGTCCACAAAAAATGTTGAATCTGAACATCACCAACACTTTGAGTTGGCAAATAACTACCAAGGAGGACGTGACAAATTATTTGTGTAATAAAAATATTGTGCCGGTTGTGTGATTTTTTGATTTTACAAAAAAAGTGTAATATATATAAGAAGGCGAAATATTTTTTATACATTTCAGGTAAGTTATTTTTAAATAAATATGTTTATATTGCTTTATGTTATAAAACACAAAAAGTAGCATCATTGCATTCAAGCTCCCTGAATTGTAGTCAGCGTGTTGCGGCATATGAGACTCGTGTATGACAAATGTAGTTTGCCCTTAAATATTAATATCGAAAAGGACATAGGACTCAAGGACTACTTTTTTATTAACAGAAAATTTTTAGCACCGAGCAAAATATATAAAAACATAAGACTTGTCAGCACCTCATATTTAAAGATTTGGTTATTTGGTAAACGGGATAAAAATTCTAACAAGGATGTGAACTGATCTAAATTCATAGAATTTACCTCCACTACATAGAATTTACCCTTTTAGTCAGAATATACGATGTAATGTAGTATTAGTCCCAAAGTTGATTCTACAGGAGGAATATTTTAGTGAAGTGGAATAGTACGTATACCGACGCATATATTTTCTTGTAACAAATTTCAGGCATGTACATATGCATGCACGATTTTGTACCACTTTCATTAGCCTTTCAAACTCCAATGTATGACCATTAAAATACATTTTCATAGCTTTTGAAGGCTACACATAACACAAAGTGATATTTTTGTTTATATAAATAATTGTAATGAGAATAGCAATATCGATTCTCTTCAAATTGAAAATGAGTCATGTGAAACCGCATTGTTTCTAACATATGGCCGCTAGTAATGCGTATTCTCTCTTGAATTAATATTCTCCCCCCAAAGTAATGTGGGGAGGCAATGTTAATCTCCCAATAAAAACAAAAACACACAAACTTTATAAACTGTTGCTCCTAACAGTATTGTGTTAATATTCGCCATGGAATTGGAGAGAGAGAGTGTGAGCAAGAGGGGTTGTTGAACAAACATACATATATACTATATGGGGGAGTATAAATAAGAATTATTCAGTGATGGTGGTGTTGTTTGTGTCTGTTATACAGTGTCTGGTATTCTTTTGTTTTTTTGCTGTTGTTGTTATTGTTGCTGTTTGCGTTAACAGAGGCATGCACAGAATACGTGTTACTACTTTTTTTACGCAAAACTAAACGCAACGCCACCATGCCGTTCCTGTATGTTAATACATGTTATGTACATATATATGTATGTTTGAACAGAGCATGTTTGGGTATTTGTTTTTGTTATTTTTTTATTTATTTTTTTGAATATTCATTTCATGCTACATTTCAGAAGACTGAACATTGTTTGAGTCTTCACTACAATGAAAAATGTATGCCAAATTAACAAAAACAACAACAACAACAACAACACCAAACTGTAAACTAAACCCCAACCAAAATATCAACTACCGGCCAATTCGTGAACAGCACCATTAATTAATGCTTTGAAATAATAAATATATCTAAATATATTTTTTGTTTGTAATTAAAAAAAATTGGCTTTCGTTTATGTTTAGATGAATTAATATTCTGTGCGTTACAGAAAAAAAACCGCACACATTCACATTCAAATAATCACCAGCGACCACAAAGCAGACGACAAGACGTGAGAAAACAGGTTCTCCAACAGAAAAGAATCCCCTTTTCGCTGCAATATCATTTGTAACCTCCAGATGAACGCCAATAATTACACGTGGCAATATCTGGCTATATAAATACCTACATACATACACTCAGCAACAAATTGCAAATGCATAAATGCTGTTGGTGTTTGCGAGGGTTTAGTAAACGGGGTTCGGATATCAACAGAATAATAAAGGCTTGGTCGATTAGGTGATACCTTATACCGGTACAGTCGAACTTTTTGATAACAAAGTAGTTGTTCAATAGACTACCACACAGATTACAATGACGATTTGGAAAAGATTCTTTGGATTTTTTTTTGGATATTGTTGAAGTTCATTGCGAATTTCGTATACATTTACGATGAAAGGCGTAAACTACAATATTTTATAATATATGGAATATATTACCATCATCAATATTTAAAAAGAAAGCCAGTGGATATAGAGAGCCAGTGGATAAAGATAGACGTTACCATAAATAATAAGAACAAGTAAAAACGATGCTAAGTGAGGAAGAGGATGGCAATCAAAATATTTAGAAAACTCATCATTCGGTGGGAAAACGTTCTGAAATCCCCAAAATACCGAATATTGGGAGGTATCGTTATATGGGGCTACTCTGAAACTTGGGTCAAAATTAATAATTTTTGGTACGGATATCATTAGATCGATTAGAACGAAATTTCGTATTTTCTATAGGGGGTAGATTTTCGATGAATATTTTTTTTACGACGTCGATTTTTAAAGAATATTCTTCATAGGTCTATAAGAGACGTTGATTTTTAACGTATATTTTTCAAAGGTCCATCAGAGGCGTATATTTTTAAAGAATATTTTTCAAAGGTCCATGAGAGGCGTTAATTTTTAATGAATATTTTTCAGGAGCTGTCTCTGGAATTTAGACACTCCTGGACTTTTAAAGATTTTTTTTGTGAATTTCTGACAAGAGTGGATGTTTAAAAAATATTTTAGTGAAGCTTTACGAAAAACCAACGTCGCAAATAGACATTGAAAATTATTTAATTAAAAAAATTTATATGAACTTTCAACATTTTTAAGAAAATAATCGTCGTTTTTGACCTCTTAATCGCCTTGAAAATTTGTAACATACTGACTTTTTATTGGCGCCCAAAATATACCTAAGACCAGGAGACTACAAGGGTTTTTGGTGGGCAGCAAAAGGAAGGACTAATAGAGTAAAAATATATAATAAAATTGATAGCGTAATTGTCCAGATCTACAAGAAATGTTATAGATGGGGTTGTACTGAATTGACATAAAAATTATTTATTATTACCTTTACAGACGGCTGTAGAAGGAAAGAACTTTTATTACGCTACTAGGAGATATTCATAATACATAACACAGGGTAGGGCGATTATTTTTTTTCTATATTTTTCTAATTTGTATATCATTAGGTTCTAAATACATTTCATCCATAAGGATATAGACTAAATTCATAAATTTTGAAAATTATAATGAAATTGAGACGTTTAGTAATTTCTGGATGCAATACATAAACTATGGTCATGTTTATGTATGACCTTACACACAATTTCAATCTTTTGAATAATAATTTTTGTTGGGAATTTATGTTCTCTTTTTTCCGTACTAATATAATGTTGACAAATTCATATTCTATTGTGTGAAAAATGTCCATCGTTAAATTTCATTATTAAGAATTATAATTTACTTGTTTTTGTCTCAATAAACTGGGTCGGGGGAAATAACCGTTATATACATAGATTTATGTATATATGTATGTACATTTATCTATGAATGCGGTTTTATTCAAATTAATAGAATTCCAGAATATGCTTTTTTGGCATTCCACCTAAGCTGTCAGTGTGTAGAGATTATGTTTGGTAACCTAATGACCGGACGTTACAATTCTGTCAAAAAATATATTCATAAAATAGCGACTGTCTCTTCATTGTCTATCCGGAAATATTATTGTTGATTTGCTGGTGTATTTTTTTTTAGTGATTCATACAGGCTGTTGTTTGTTGTCTAAGGGTCTAATAGTTGTAAATTATTAATGGAAATTTCCGTAAGATTCTTGAAGAGTCTTTATGTTGCTACTAAACAAAAAACACAAAATAATTTTCACTTTATTGTCGTAAAAAATAACAGTTCGTTTTGTTTTATCAACAGCAGCAGCCTCATCATCATGATCAGCATTCATCATTACCACAATCATTAAGTAACAGATGTGGGATTTGTTAGATCGCAAAGGTTGTTGGGCCTGGGTTTGTTGTCTGTCACTCATTTGCCATTTTTTGAAATTTCCATTTGCAATTGCTCAAATTTCAAAATAAATTAAAATGCATTCATGGAGACTAATTTTTTGTCATTTCGACACCAGGGACCACCAGAAAAAAAAACAACGAATGTGTTTTGGCTGATTCTCCCTCATTGTTCAAAACTATTCAACATTGACAGATTTCAATGGTTAATGATTCAAGGCGGAACTGTTTAATTTGTAACGAATTAAATCTTGTAAATTAACGGGAGGTCATTTCGTGGGGATATTTATCGAACGAATACAATTGATTTTGCAAGTATCAAGATCATGCATCAAGGTGGGCAATGTATTTCTCGGGAGTTTTCATGTCAATAGTCATCATAATTCAAAGATCATTCCACAACAAAATTGAAAACAGGCCAATGACTTTTGACTTGAACCACGAAGTGCATTGCATAACAAAGAAAATAACTTTACAGCAGCAATATATATATATATATATATATATTTCTCTTTGACAATTCCACAGCTAATTGAATGACT